CAAAAGAGCTTAATTTTCTTTTACGCTGTACAAAAAGGCACGGAGAACAGCCAGTAAATTTAGCTCTTTTCATTTTCACTATGACTTAAGAACAGAAGGAATTGATTATCATCACACTGACTCCAGCATAACCTGGCTTCTTTTTATCAAGGTTGCTTAAATTAAAAGATAAAACCAGAGCTCCCTTTTGCCTGAGATTAAAAAGATGCATCAACTCAAAGACAGCATTTAGATTTCAAGGAAAAATAAATTGTGGTAACTCATCTGAGCTGAAGGCTTGAGTGCCTTTCCAGACACAGCTTATTTCTAAACTACCAATACTGCAATACTCACGCACCAGAGAATGGAGACAGAGCCAGGTGCTAAATAAACTAAGTACAAATTTATTGTGGACCTTATCAGTAACACTGAACTCCTCCTTTACTCAGTGGCACTGATCAAACATGTTAGTTTAATAGAAATGTAACTCTATTTCAAGAGGGCAAGTGCAAAGTGCTGGAGAAACAGTATTTTCTTATTTGGTAAGACAACATGCAGACAAATAATGTTACCTGGCAAATTTACAGTGAAATGAGTGCTGCACCTCTCCTAGTTCTATGTAGCTAATCGTGATCATAATGTAATCAAATATTTTTATTTACAGCCACTCAATATAAGTGTAAGAAAAATATACCTTAAAAAAGAACATTTATATTCAGGAAGCTAGAAAAAAAAACATGACAAGAATCCTAAGCAATACTTCCCCTCCAACACGATAAAAGTCGTTCACAGTTACTGCCTAAAATAAATGACGGATCAATGTGCTCTGCTTACCAAAACTGCTTTTCTTAATAGCGGATCTTCATAAAAGAAAGGTTATTTTCTTTTATTATATTTATTTATAATATATAATTATTAACTTCTCCTGGCACAGAGATATCCTACATCAGGGATTCCTAAAATGTTGTTTATGGAGAACTAATTAAAGGGAGTGGCTGTGTAAAACAGCTCTAAGAACAGCAAGTCTCAGCCTGGTATTAATGGTACAGCCCCTTCACCACTAAGTGAATGCCACCGGTTCCCAGCAGTAATATTTTACACATAGTTGACGCAAAACAAATTGTTCCCAACGCAGCAACTGGAACATCCCCCAAAGTCTACATATTTTTACCAACCAAGCTGGCAAATTCACGGCAGCAACATTGGCAGCAGCTGTAAATTCAACGTGGCGATGGGTCCGATGGATCTTCCTCTAGGAAACCTGGCGTTTGTGGCAGGCTGTTGCACTGCTGGTACCACAACTGAACTGTTACACTTCCAACGTGTAATAAGAAACCCTTAACATCTCCACAACCCTCTCTGGAGATGGCTGGAATAGCTCCCCTTAGAGAAGGGATGGCAATGCCCCAGAGGGTAGGTTTCTGCAATTTTCCTTCTTCACAGCTCCAGCCCCCAGCGGGCTGGGAGCTCCCCCAAACTGGAGTCAGCCAGCGAGCCCTGGAAGCAGTCCCTCTCCCACAAAAAGCAAGGATGGCACCTGATTCTCGCTGCACAGCACCTTCCAGTTTGTGGGTCTTGGCCCAAGGTTCAAACAGTCCATAGGAAATACTGGGGCATTTTCAATCCAAAAAGGCCATGAGTGATGACGTGAGGGTCAGAAAGACAAGGGAGATAAACCAACAGGGACCTCTATGACTATCCAAGGCCTCGCACCTTGGACAGAAGCCTTCTGCAGTCTCATCCCCATGAAAAATGGACACAAATCACAGCCTCAGCAGAACCCAGCAGTTATCCCTTACCTGGACACATGCACATGGGAGGACAGTCTTGTGGCACCTGCATGGGCCAGAGGGCAACGTGCCCTGTTCCCTCCCAACAGAGCTTCCTAGTGAGCACAAATACCCACGCGCCCTGCCCACACGCAGGCTGCAAGCCTCCTCTTCAAGGAGACAGCAAGGAATCACGACCACCCAGCCACCCTTTGGTCGTAGCAGCAGCTGGAGGGGCACAGCTCTCAGCTCTCCCATCCTGAAGCCCTGCCTGCAGCAGCCAGCTGTCCCTAGAGGCAGGCAGGAGCTGCTGACACCTCCTGCTCTAGTGGCAGCTCTGAACACAGCATGCTCTGGTGTCCCACGGGAGGCCCGCGAAGCGCTGCCTCTCGTGCCCTGTCCTGAAGGAGTGATGCGATCAGAGCACGCACCAGACCCAGCCTGCAGGCCATCTGGCAAACCACGATGCTGCCTCTGATCAAGCAGAGGCTTTGAGCCAAGAATCAGTACCAACTGTTTTACTGGAAACATCTCCAAATATTTTTCCAGCTACTGTGGAAAACATACGCTCCAACAAGGCCGGACCAGCAAGCAGGACCAATGAAGATTTCTCTCTACTGTGGCATGCTGCGAGAAGATCCGGTGCTGAGAAAAACCACTGGCGTTGTGACAACAGCTCAGAAATTACTCAGTCAACTGCAAACAAGAAGTAGGAGCAAGTACTCAAAGCAGACAGTATCAGAATGCCAGCACTACCTGATATTTACCTAATGACTCATACAGAGGAGGATCCATTCATTTAGGGGAACTGACCTAACAGTCAGAGAACAGGTAACAGAAGAGCTTATAAAACGACTGGGAGCTCAGCTCTTCCTGACCTCAGAGAACAAAGAAGCCTTGTAGCAAGAAACATATCCTTCTTTCACACACACTCACTCTTTTCTCACTGTGTTGCACAATCTTTATCCAGAGAGGAGAGGTGCACGTTTCATCAAGATGTAAAAGGAGAAGAAAGAGAGCAAAAGGAAGGTGGTGTTTCTGTTCATCTGTATCAATACAAAAGTACAGACTACACCAGTAAAAATATTTCCAAATTGCACTCCCTAGTTTTCCAGATTTTCCAGCAAAAGGATTCACAGATGACATTTTTTAACCTTCCAACCACCCCCTTCACCTGCTCACAAACAGCATCAGTGTAACTACCAACTTCCACAACCACTCAAATGTCACAAGTAGTTTTTAGTTAGATATTCACATACAGTTACTTGTGCAGGATTCATAGACCAAATTTAAAAGATCCTTCCCTCCAAAAATAACTGAAGATTGTTATAAATACGCAGCCATTCACAGCCTCTTTACATATAATGAACGCATAACATGGAAAAAAACTAGGGCACTCCAAGTTCAACAGTAAGTGTCTTAAATGTTTAGACTGCAAGCAGTACAAGAAAAAGAATTGTTGTTTTTCCATATAGATATAAAATACTCAACTTAAAACTCTTAGAAAGCATCTTACTCTTCTGTAGCATGAGATTAGCTTCCACGTTATTAGGTAGAAAGCATGAAATATCAACAGCAAGGTCCTACTTAAAGTCTTCCTGGAGTTCTCAGTATCTAACTACACGTTACAAAAGCTCAAAATCTAGTTGTCCTAGCTGAGAAACGAAAAAGAGATGCTTGAAAATACAAACTGAAGTCAACTGAGCATTTTGGTAACACTTTTTCCCCAAACACAGCTATCAGGGACATCTATTGCAACACACCATTAATGAAAACAAACCAGAAACAAAGCTTCTGACTGAGGAACATGGGCCCAGGACTAAAGCTAGATCACTGTCACCCAGGGCTAACGCAGGACAAGGTTTTAGACCTTAGCAACACTTTTTGGTTTGGGGGTTTCAGTTTGTTATCCTTTCACGTAGAATCGTGCAGATTATACAGAGACCAAATAGTGCAAATGAACGTGCACAGTATTTCTCTCTCCAGCTATGAGAGACCAAACAGCACAAAGGAACACGCACAGTATCTCTCCAGCTACAAGCCTTCTCCTCCAGTAGGAAGGCCCCCTCCTACTGCACGGCCCTGCCTCTGTCAAGTACCACACTGACAAGAGGGTACTCTCAGCACTGCTCCATATACAAATATTTCAGAAACTCACATGGGTAACAGGACACAGAGCTTCAAATCTGCAAAAACACAGGAAAACTGAGTCCATTGGAGGCTGAACTTCTAGCAGGCTTTCTTCCCACAATGTGCAGTATTTGCACACGGGAGGCCTATTACTCCAGCACTGGGCATTTTGAAACAATTTCCACGCAGACTGAATGACAGCTGGCAAACACCTAGATGCATTTTTCACCACTCACACTGCACTATTAGCTTTGAGGTCATCAGTTCTGGGCAGTTCATATTAAAAAGAGAGAAAATGTAATTATCAATAAGCTAACTAACAGAAAAGCAACTTTACTAGCCTAAGTAAATTAATCACGGTTGATACCACTAGGCAAGCAAACTTGGACTTACACAGACTCACGGCTTCCTTGTATGTATTTACATAAAGTGACAGTAAAGTCTAAATCAAGATGTTTTAAACCTCAACTGTTTGTGACTTCCCATTTTGATTTCTGTTATTAAAGGATTTTAAAACAATACTGCACGGTCACTGCCTACAGCCCTAAGGGTATGAGTACAAAAATAACAAAAAGATACCACAAACTGTACAAAATAAAATGGATTTAATTTCATTGAAGCACTATGTTCTTTACTTTGGGGATATTAACTTATTATCTGTGACAGCAGGCAGCCTTCTTCAGCTACTCTGAATGCTGATAACATCACTTGAGGTATGACTGGAACAGAACTTGAAAAAGCCTTACCTAATTTAATACATTCAGCAAACTGAGATTTGTCTTTCAAACTTAACTTCCTCATCCTGCAAGTAAAACACTTGTTCATCCTCCACCCTCCAAAAAATATCCATGCTCTTTCCCATGGTTTACCTCTTTCACTAAGCACTCCATTTCTTCAAGAGTTTCCAAATTAATGATAATTAATGGACAAGGCAGAAAATACACCTGTTTCCTAGATATTTCTTCCAATGACAAAATAAATCCCCTCACAAATATGCTTCCATGGGCTGTGCCTTTCCTGTGCACACTAAGCTGAATCGAGGGCAGTCTTAACTCTGAGAAAACTGATGGTCAGGGCCCAGGACATTAAACAGTTCATCCGTCACAGACAAAACCTACTCACCTTCACGACATTCTAGCTCCCAGTAGAAAAGCGTGAAAAGGCTCATTTTGGAAGGTGCAATGGTCCATCAGTTTTTGCAGTTAAATTTCTTTGCCGTTCCTCTCAGAAACTGGTATTCTGGAGATATAAAAAGAACCTCAGTTTAAAATACAGCTCTCTCGCAGACAGCAATACTGTGTTACATAAACATTACGTTTTTCCTGCTTTTTACCTGGCACACACTGAAAGGTCACCTGAAACCAAACTGGTGGCTCCAGTTACTGAACAGCTATGCTGACGGATGGCAATAAAGGCTCCAATCTTTACCTCTGCGACCCTCACGGTTTATGTATTTAATATCTTCGTTAAAGTAGCAAACTGAGAATGTTGGGCTTATCTTGGAAACAGTAACACTGAACTTTTCTGCTCAGTTTCACCAAGGTCTCATCAACAATAGATTAGCTTCCTTAACCTCATTAGGGACACTCAAGTACAATTGTGCTGCACAATGAGGGCACTTTTTACCCTGTTTGGTGTTTTGAGGAGTTGGACAGATGTTTGAAAATAAAGCTGAAAAGACAAATCCAAAACATTTGGATTGTAAATGAGCAAATGCCACGTTAGAAACAAATTCCTTAACAGGCCCCATTTTGCAACCAAAACATTTAGATCTCCAGCAAGAATTAACCCAGGTAGATAAATGGTTCACTGTGAGATTAACCAAGGTCATGTTCTCTTACACTCAGCTTTTTAAGATTCCTCTGCCACAAAAGTTCGCCCATTAGGAAATTCATCGTTGAAGCACATCAGCACAGGCTAAAGCAAAGCATGCTATCGCCTGTGAAGTGCTGCCTGCCCAAGAAAAAGCCACGTCTTCTGAAAGAAATCTGCATTTGAGAGCCTCCTCGACTGTGTGACTGCTGCAGCTGGATGTTCAGAGATAACTGCCAACTCATTAAAATCCAACATTAAAAGTTTATTAAATATGCAAGCATTAATGGAATTGGACTAGCAGCTATTTAGACAGATAAAAATTCAACACAGCATGTCCTGCAGTTCCTGATATCAATATTCTGTAGCCTGCCCTTTCGCAAGCGTCCATGAAAAAGTCACAATGCTATTCAGGGCAGTGAAACCCTCCATCTGTTCTAGTTTACTCAGGTCACATTCTCAAGGTTCCCACCAGGCAGGAAGCCTAGGAAAACACAGCTACTTCCCAAGAACTACAGCTCAGCTGCCACACTCCACTGCTTGGGATGCAACCTTCCCAAGAGCTTTCCCCCCCCCTTGGCTGTATCTGCAGGGCAAGTCCCATACCTCTTTGCAGGCTTACAGGTACAGAGGCTTTGCATACGTTCCAGACTCACAGTTCTTCTCACCTGGCTGCTGGAGTTTGAAAGAACTGCAAAAAAAGAAGGAGAGTGGAGTGTCAAGCAACATAGATTAAAGAATGTCAGCCTCTTAAAAGCAACTTTCCTCAGGTAACTGAGCACACACAGCATGCTTGCAGAGCCCTGCTTGGAGCTACTCACTCGGAGAATCCAGAAATAAGCATCAGAGTCCTCCATGCAAACCACAATCCTAGTACAGCTCAACAAAATGCAGTTTCATTCCTGGATGACTCTGCAAAATCCCAGTGCTTGGTAAGTATCTACAGCAAAAACCTGGAGGTGCGTTCAGAGTGATATCAGACTTGGAAGCGTTCTTCATTAATACTATCAGCATAATTTAAACTGGCCCGGGGGAAAAGAGGACAAGGAATATCTCTCATCACACAGAGCATAAACAAGCTCCTGAGAGTCTCTAATGCACCTCCAAGTGACTCTGGCAATAGCCTCGCTCTCTCAGTAGTGATTTCAAAGAGCATCTGGAAAAATTTTGTCCTCTAATTAAGCAAAAAAGTATTCTCTCAACATGCAATAGGTGTTGGGAAACAAGTGTATAGCATCTATGCCTTGGAGATGTGAGGTTTCAGAAAAAGACTGAAATGAAATCTTACAAACAGGAAAGAGCATGACTTACTGGGAAAGAATAAGAAATGAGGAGTATGAAGTATTCTAAGCTCTGAAAGAGACAGTGAACTCATCGAACACAAAGGGAAGCCAGCCTTTTGGCCAGGCAGGCTTTCTACTAACGTTTTTCTTTGTAACAATGACACTCTCTTACTGGAGAAAAAGCAGGCCCTTTTAAGTGTCAAGAACTATCTTGCACTCAGTCTGTGCAATCCAATACATGAATCTGAAGTTTGAGCTGTCTGTTGGTCCTGTAACCATGTGGGCCTCCCACAAAATAGGCAGAAGGGTCCAGGATCCTTTGGCCAGGAGGGAATCAACAAGAGCATCCGTCCATTATCTGATGCACCACAACGCATCACATCTTGCAGAACCCTGAGGAGCAGCCTGTTTGGGGTCAGACATACAGTCCCATCCTATTTGGGGTCAGACATACAGTCCTCTTCAGTCAACTGGCTACCTGGTCATCTTACCGAGCCCCCAGACATAACCGTACTGAACAACTCCCGTACACAGGTTGCATTATTTCTCCCCGGCAGTTCTTGCCCCCAGGAATGAGCAAGGGATTATTGAACACAAAAAATCATCTCCTTGCTCACAGCTGACACCTTTGAACAATTTTCTGCCCCCTGGGCTGCAGGAGGAGTCTCTAAGCACAAAAGCACAACACATCAGTTAACCAGCACCAGTATTTCCTCCCATTACAGACAGGCAATTACATCGAAACTACAGGGCACAGTACCTTGAGGAATGTAAATAAACCATAAAAAAAGTACTGTATTTATAAGTGAACCAGAAGGTCAAAGTACTCCCAGTCACCTATAAGCTGTGCTAACTTCCACCTGGGAAGGCATGGGGAGAGAGGAGTGCTCGCAGCAGCAGTGACTAAAGGCCCTGTAAACATTTCTCATTCCCTGAGGGCAGTAAACGGTGCCACTGAGCAACACCACGAACTTCAGCATTCAGGTTGTCGTTAACACAAACAGTCGGAAAACAAAGGATGTTAAGGAGAAGTCAGAAGTCAGTCTGCTACCTGCTGTGGCCCTTGGCCACCTGCATGAGAGCCCAACTCCTCCACCTCCTCCAACACTCGAGTGTCGGGCTGACGTGAAGCCAGCAGCAGTGCTAGAAACACAGCACTGGTGGGAAACCGCTCTTCCAGCAGCACCCAAGTGGTACGCAGGGACCGATAACTGAGGAAACTTCACCCCCTCTAGCACTGACCCATCCTGACACACAGCAAAGGCCCACACTGCAGTGGCCACAGCAGCAGGCACCGAATGAGACGGCGACCGTGCAGCCGGATGAGCACACCAGCAGCAACCCAGAGCTGCAGGAGCCAGGGCATCAGCCTGTACCTGTGCCTTGTCGGGCAAATCTGTTTCTCATCAACTTGCTGCTTGTGCTGGTACGTTCCCCTTGGCTTGGCTCTGAAGCTGGGCATGCTGGCTTCCTTCTCCACTAGGGAACTTCAAAAATCACACGTGCTCTCACAGTGGAGTCTACATCTAAATACACCGTGAACAATGGGCTTTGCTCACAGTTCCCACCGCAGCAGTACGCTCACTCAGCAGATGAATGCAAGGACAAATGTAGGCCACACATGCAGAGAAAGATATCCAGACAACAAAGATACTATAGATGTCATTTTCAGAGTCAGGAAATGAACACTCACTAAAATAGCCTGCAAGTGCTGGGGTACAGCTCAGTAGGAGCCAGATGGGCTAAAGGAAAAACAAGTTTCATCAGAAAGTTAAGAGTTTTTTTCCCCACACACACTAAATTGCCTGATGAGTCATTAAAGAAAAATCTTTGTGATGTAACTATTCAGTTAGGCATGGGACTTATACAAAGAACACTCTCATAATCAGCTCTTGAAGTAATCCTCTGACCACCATCTGGAGGTCAGCCTAAATCCTGATCTCGGTTTCACTAAGCATCCACGCACCTTTGAAACCAAGATTTTAATATAAACACACCTGAGGTGAACCACATCGCCGCATTAAACTCCCAAAGCAGTAAAAGATGACAAACACTAAAAACCCGAGCGACCTCTCACTCCACAGGCTCTCTCAGACAGCTCTGTGATACATGTTCCAGAACACGCACAGACTGAGCCAGGGGCGATTCAAGTCCATCACATCTAGGGAAACAGCTTCAAAACGAGTTAGTAAAAAGGCAGGGCCTACCAACCCAATCCTACATCTAAATCAAAACGTTTCTTCTGTTGAACCAAAACAACTGAAGCAAATCAAGTCCCCATGACACACCCAACCTCATTCTGATAGCATGGAAATCTTCCCAGAATTGGATTCTGACAGCAAACCAGACTTACCAAAAAAAAAAAACAAAAAACATTTTACCACTAAGGCATGCAGAAATTCCTTCACCTAAAGCACCATGCATAACTAGTTATTTTTGGTATCGTTTGTTGTTTTGGGTGTTTTTTTTTTTGGTACCAACCTCTGACTAGCTGGAAGCTCCTATTCCCCACTAGCAAATAAAGTCTAAGACGCCTCCCACTTACAAAGCCTCTCAGCTAGAAAAATGAGTTCTCTATTATACAGCTTTCAGCGTCACATGCTGAGCTCCCCATAGCAAAGCACTCAAGAATGAAACATGCCACATCACCGAGGAACACATCTAATCTCATCAGTTCCAGAGGAATTCCTCTCTTTTCAAGGCAGTTTATCAACCAGATTTTAGACCTTTGCAAAAAAGCCTACAACAGCAAGAAGAGAGGCATGGAGCAGGCCCAAAATACTCAACTGCTTTTGCTTAGTTCCTATTTTAAAGGGAATCTTTACAAGAAAGAGAAATGTTTGTGGTTTTTTTCCTCCAAAAATGATAATGTTTGTAAAAGAAACAAAGAGTCTTCTGTGCTGGAAGGAATGGCCTCAGAAGCCCCAGGCCTCTGCACTCTCTACTGGCACACAGAATTTCCTCCAGCTAAAGGTATGTTTAAGTACAAACAAGAGCAAGACCAGAAAGGATCACCAGACATGACAGCAGCTAGGAGACTGCAGATTCCCGTCGTTTCACTACCTACAGAGTGACAGAGGGGCTGTCGCCACCCCCTGCAGCAGAGCCCACCAGCACTCAACAAGAGCACACTGTGTGGTGGTTGATGCTTCCATAGCTTAAAAAAAAAAAAAAAAAAAACTAATTTTTTATATTTTCACTTCATACTTTTCTTGAAATGCCATTTTAATTAATGTTTATTTTCCATGGAGACAGGAAAGACAGACATAAGGTGTTGAGACTCCAGGTTTATCATTACAAGCGTTACCAGGCTGAGCCCGCTGTGACCACTCGTTGTCTCTGTGCCCACCAAGACCGGCTCCAGTCTAGACGGGGACAAGTTTTACCATGCCATTATCTTTGCCGCTTTCCTTCTGGCTACAGTGCTGGTGTTTGGCAAGGGTTACGCAGGGCCAAAGTCCTATACAGCAGGTAAATATTTAACTTGGGAACTGTGCCACAGGGACCCACCTAGAGTATGATACAGTAGCTTATTAAATCTTACACTATCTTTTCTCACCAAGAATAACAAATGGCGATTTATCTTCTTTATGAGACGTTGTATGGACAAATTCTACATGAACAGCAGCTAAGATTCAGTTCTAATAATCTTAATAAATGACCTGAAAGAAAACATTGCTCAGGAATTGCAATATGCTTCTGTGGGAATGTGATGTATACTCCAGAACAGGTTCAAGAGAGGGGCAGAAGGAACAGTTCAGAAATCATTTACAAATTAAGAAAAACTCAGCACTTTTTCAACCACTTTACCACTGCAATTCTGCTATTAAACTTTGTCACAAACTCTTATGTAAAGCTCTTCGGCTTTACAAGAAGTATATATTCTCCAATAATATTCGGATAAATCTACAGAAATCTCTGCTAGCACAGATTTCAGCTGATTTTTTAACTGTAACCGATTTGGTTAGATCCCAGAATTACTCCTTGTATGCCTCCAAAGTAAACTACTGCTAATATTCTCATCTTTTGTGATATTTCCAGGCAAAGATCTTTCTCAAACCGCTCATGAAACAAAGTTCAGATCAAAACACAGCAACTGAGACTAAAATTACCTGTTTACTACATTTCAATTGTTTATCCACCTGTTTTCTGTATCTAAGCACGGTTTACTTATTTTTTTGGCAAGTACTCCTATCTTTGCATTTACCAAGAACTGCTTTTGTTCTCTGAAACTGAACACCTGTTTCAACCATGAGTCTAGTGCAGTTATTGGTGATAATTACTACAGGTAAATTTCTAAAATTCTGCAATGCTACATTTCTAGCCCTGTATACTTAAGGTAACATGTACGCCATCTTAAAAAAAAAAAAAAAAAAGTAACTTTTATGCCATCCTTAAAAAAGTAACTTTTTTTTTTTTAAGAAGTAGAAGCATTTTAGTTTGATTTAGTTTATTTCCTGAAAAAAGTCAGGCGTGAGGAGGCTGAGACTATCAGCCACATTGTGAAACAAGGAGGCAGGCAGTACTGCAGAACTTTTACCTAAATGTCCTGACTAGGACCTGGAGGTGAACAGGGAACAAGATCTTCCAGTCTCAAAAGATAATAAAACAGAACCACTTGGCCAGCTCACCTGTCCCAGGAACCGCAGCCTCAGGGTGCACTTCCACGAGCAGCTTAACTGATTTTGAGCCATGCCCCAGCTCCAATGGGCGGGCCTGCTTCTCCCTTCTACAGGCACCAGCAGCAATACATGCAGCCCATCAGCTCGCTCACTTCGCTTTCTGTCTGCTGCTAATTGCTGGCCAGATACGAACCCAGCTGGCCACACAACCCTTGATACCTGCTGCACACAAGAGGCAATGAAACTGGGTAGCTGGAGAGCAGGAAAGAGGCGCACAGGGCCACCTCCACAGCATCACCTCCCACCCTTCCTGGCAGTTCCCAGAAACACAAGCTTTCGCATCTCCCAGGCTGCTTGGAGCTGTCAGGTCAGGGTTCAAATCCACCTCAGAATGACTGCTGAAAGCATTTCTCTTTTTTTTTTTTTTTTGTTCTGCTTTGACAACACGATCAGTGTGCTAAGACCAGTCTAGCTGTGAAGTCGTGTAACCAGAGGACATGAGAAACGCAAATGAAGCCACAACGTGATCTTAGTAGATTCAAGCCGCAAAACTCCCATAAAAGGAGGATGACAGGTCCTGACCATTTACTCCCAAAACTTCATTTTCGTTGCACAAGGCTTGCAAGCACACTGTTTGCTCCCATCTCCATCCCAACTCCTAAAAACAGGCTGGAGACAGCAGGCTGTGCCCGTGGGGAGGCCGGGGGCCACCTCCCCTGCTCTCCCTCCATCAGCTGAGGCCAGGCAAGGTGCCAGCTAAAGCCGCCCCTTTCGCTCTTCCAAACTTGCCACGAGAGAGAAGCACCAAAATTACTGCCTGCACTTTTTAACCGAACCCGGCACAAACCCACAGCAGCCCGCGCGGACTTATTTTGACCCGCCGACTGCCTGCGATACGTTTTGCTCGCGACAGGGTCGCGACAGACGCCACAGCCTTAACTCGGAGCCGATTTGCTCCGGATCCTGTGCAAGGAGCCGGCTGAGCGCTGCCTCCTTCCCGGGGACGGGGGAGACCATCCCCTGCCACACCTGCCTCGAGAGCTCCTTACCGGCACCTCGCTTCTCCGTGGGACTGAGAAACAGCTCCTGCCCCGGGGGGAAGCTCCCAGAGACGCCAAAATGCTGTTTTCACTGCGGGAGGGACACCGGGGGGCAAGCGGGGAGCGCTGCGAGACAACCGGGAGGGACCGGGGGGCACCGGGGGTCCGCGCCGTGCCGCCCCACGCCACCCCCGAGTGGGCAGCAGCGCCCAGCCCTATCCCCGGCCACCCCCGTTACCTGGGCACGGTGTCCCGAAGCCAGCGGCTCGGTACGGCTCGGTACAGCACCGCCCCACCGGGCCGGGCCCCCGAGCACCGCCCCGCCGCTTCCGGGGCCGCGCCGCCGGCAGGGCGCAGCCGTGGGCCGGCAGCCGCCGACATCTTGGGGCCGCGCAGGGACCCCGGGAACGGCCGGGCCGGGGGCTGGGAGCAGCCCCTGTGTCCCCCCCCCCCCAGAGGCCTTCCCAGCATTTGTGACTGTTTATATTTTTTTGTGAGGGTTTACGGCAGATGCAGCACCAGGGAGGGGGCTACGGGAAATGTCACCCAAAGCTGGCGTTCCTCACGCTGATGGTTTTCGCAGAACCTGAGGTTTGCCCCTGCTGTTGGAGACAGCTGGTGACACCAGCCCAAAAAGCCAGACTTTAGCACCAGTCCTCCCAAAATGTTAGGATGCAGCCTAAGTGGCCGAAGTGGGTATTAAGATGTCAGTCTTGGACAGGTGCTTTTAACATTGTGCTTCACCACTGGACTTTACTGCAGTTTTGTTAGTGGTACATCTGCAGTCATCCTGCAGCCTGGAACAGGGAGCAGAAACACTGATTGATTCCGTGTATCTTTTTATCATCGTTACTGACAATTTTTTTGTCTCCTTGAAGAACCGTCCCTCTACAACCGCTTGTGTCGCTTTTATTTATAGTGTGTATATGAACATTTACATCGTATCTCAGCCTTCTGTATAAATCCCCTGGAGTTCTTCATGTTTGATTCCAATTTGCTTATGTCTGATGTCTCATGGTGATACTAATACCTTACAACAATGCTTAAACCATGTGTAGATTCTACGGGAACTGTAATCTTCATTAGTGCTTTTCTGCAATGCTTCCATATCATAGTATTTCTGCTTGTTCATAAGGACAATGGCATTGCTTCAGTGCTAGTGGACTACAGTACTCCGAACTGATACTTTAATTAATAATGTTTTCTGAAAATGTTCTGAATTTTCATTCACACTTCAGTTTTCTGCCAGTCAGTTTTACAGTGAGCTGTAGAAGGGAGTAAAATAAGAAGGAAAAGTAAGAAGGACCACTAATGTCTACATTAATATACAGGCATGATAGCAAGCATCGTTTGTTCATGGACTTCCGTTTTTTGAATCAAGTCCTGTATTGTTTTGGGTGATACTATTCCCTGTAAACTAGCCTGTGTAGTATAAACAAACAAAAAAGACAACTCTATCTGTGTGACAACACTAAGTGCTTATGTTTGCTCACCCAAAAAAATCTGGAAAACGCTCCCCGTGTGTATTTCTCTGCCGGTGGAAGCCGCAGTAATCAAGTCAATCAGACTGCATCGCGCTCGCTAAGCAACCAGGGACCATCTCTGAAGGCCGCTGTGCTGTCGCTGTTTTGTCCCAAGTAACTCCAAGAGGAATGTGTCTGCCGGCACAAGCAATACCGCGGCTTGCCAGAAGGTGTTGCTTTGAAACCATGCAATTATCCGAGCTTCAATATGAAAGGAAATAGGTTTGGATGATTGCACACAACTGACAGATGAGTTCTCACTGCCAGAACAACGTAAGATCCTTAATTTTAAATTATCTTAAAAGCGATCGTTTCAATCTTAAAATGGCTTGTATGCGCAGAACAATAGAGAGGGAAATAAATGCTGAACAGGGCACTGACTTGATGGAAAACATTGTGGTTTTGCACATTGCTAACAAATATGTTACAGCAGCTTTGTGTGTGCAAAAGTGTCAACGGTTTTTGCTTTGCACGCTTTGCTGTTTATGTATATGTATTAAAAAAAAAAAAAAAAACAGACCTGGGGATTTTTAGAGGGGTAGCTCGTGATTTCAAGAAGACAAAGTACAGAGCAAAGCCTCCGTATGACAACTAGCTGTCCTGCCCTGAACACCGGCTCACTGCGCTCTCCACACACATCTCAACAGAAAGGAGCTGCTTGTTTTGAGGGGCACGCAGCAGTGGTGACTTACCGGAGGTACAACTGTGGTGCACCTATAACCCTGGTTTTAAGCACCTATTAACAGTGATAAATACTGCATTTATAATTAAGCCTAGCCTTGGTCTGGGAGACAGAACAGGAGGTGAAGTTTTCAAGGCATTTAAAACCTTTTACACTAAAGGAAAAAAAAGCCTAAGAAGATGCCCAGAAGGGAGGAGAAGTTTTTAAATATGCCTATCACATGAAGTGGCTCATTGCTAAAACAACCTCCTACAACTGAACAGCCTTCTACAGCTGAGGTTCTGCAGTGGAAATCTGCAGTTTAGGATAGGGTGATATTTTACAGCCCACAGTATGTCTTGGAGCACATCTTGTGTAGATGTAGTTGCTGTGCTTACTCCAGCTGCGCCTTTCAAAGTTACATCTGCCAGCCCTGAGGCTGTGAACTCCAGCTCACTGTTTTGGGAAACAGTTTAGAAAAGGACCTTACAGTTAGCAGAGGAGGTCACATCAGAGTGGGCATAACCAAAGAAGCCTTTGAAAACTATTTGATGACCAGATGTTTACCAATATTGTTTTTACCATAGATAAAGAAAGGTGGTAGCCTGGAGCAGAGGACAGTGTACCAGACAAAAGATCAGAGGGGAGTAGATCAGCAGCTGTTTTTTACAGCAAATAATCTACCCAAATAATCTAGTCCCCCAATAATCTTAGCTGTAAGAAGAAAAGCAGAAAACAGTTGTTGAATTCAGCAGGCCCTCTTACCACTTCAACAGCAGAGGGTAATTTAAACCCTTTGTTTAGACCAGTTGCTGTCAAGATCAAGTAAGTTTTCAGAGCTCCCTCCCCATCAGTGCAGCCATGGGTTTTACCACAAAACTCAGCTTGGATTGTGCAATGCAGCTAGCTGGATCTCCCATATTCCTCAGTAGTTTCAGCAGAAGTCCACTGCTCCTGCAGCTGATACAACATCACTGCAGTCCCTCCTTTTCAAATGCCTTTGGGCCAGAGATCGACATCTTTTTTTCAACTAGTCTAATAATCATTTTTCAGGATTTTTTTTTCCTGTGTGAATAAGTTTATAGCAAATCAAGCTGCATCTTCTGAAGTACCATGGATTAACAGCAAGCTGGAATAAAAATTAACCTGAGCCTCCTGTAAAGCATTTCTTTGTATCGTTCAGCACTTTCTGAGCAAGGCTGATGATCCCAGGAGGTTGTAGGAGACTTGCCAGACTCGTGGTACTCCAACTCAAGAAGAAGCAGAGTTCTTTTTCTTTACCACAGCACATGCTGGGGGGTGGCAGACAGAACACAACATCCATATTCATTGAAATCTGTCCTTCGGTGAATATTCCTCATTTCCATTTCTCGTAACGGAGTCTCTGAGGAATTGTTATTCCCCTTTTGAAAAGCTTTTCACTTCTCCAGAACTGCAGTGGGCACGTGGTGTATCTTGTGAGATACACCTCTACCATGTAGGCAAAAGACCAGTAAACAAAGGGCTGACAAAACACAACAATGCTCACAGGAACATCCGCCACTATCTCCCTGCCTTCTTGTCCTGTTGAGAGCAAACCTTCAGTTACTCGGTCTTTTTTTGCACAAGATTAAGCCTTCACATAATCATAGCTTACTTCTGAAATGGCATCAGCTGTTGCAGAGGCAGACAAGACCAGGACTGTCTTTAGCAGAATATGAACATGAGCTATTTTTGAGATTCCAGTTTAGCTGTATTTTAGGTACATTTTCTTTTGGCAGGCTAAGAAAGCTGTTACCACATCTCATGGCTTTATAGCCAACAGCTGTTTTTCATCAAGGTACAAACTGCCAGGCAGTGTGGAGGGAAGAGCACTGCTCCACGTGAAAGAGCCTTAGAAGCTCTGGCTATCTGTACAAGCTCTTGGTGAATTTCTCAAGAGCTTGCAGAAAGAAACTTGATTGTCTTGATTACATTTTGTCGAGGTTAACTGCACCAACTGGCTCTGCAGCCTCTTCCCTGTCTGTGCTCAAGATCAGATCAGATATCGCAGGGCTACATTGCCTTGGATCAGACTGCTGTGAAAACAGCTAAGGGGTGGGAGGAAAGCAACAAACAATCAAAAAAATATGAACAGCAAGAAGCTTAATCTGGGGCCTGCCCATGCACTCTTCTTTCTCTTCTGGTTTGAAATTTGCCTTTTGAGGTTTGCATTTAAGCTCAGGCCCTTGCACAACACAGAACACGTTAAGTATTTGACAGAAAGCTCTGAAGAGTTTAATTCTCTCTACCATATAAACTTAAATGAACTTTGTCTTCTTGTTACCAGACTCTGTCTTTAAAAGAAATAAAAGACAAACAGAAAGCTTAAAACAACAAACCTTAAACATTTACTGGAACCTTTCTACGAATATGTAAAGTCACAGAGCCTTCTGTTCCTGAAAACTGTTTTCTTCTGTGTTTATTCATGCTCAGAAGGGTCCTGCTTTGTTACAACTATGCTGGTTACATTATTAAAGGACAAGAAAAATAGACCTGTAAATTATAAACAGAAAGTACAACTAATCAGAGTGATCTTTGATTTTGTTCTGGTTAATAAAAAAAAACAGTAGATCAGTCAGCTTCTACAACTGCACAGCACAGGTTACAGCATTTTTGTAAACTCCCAGAATACACTGTTTTACAAGCAAATTGCAGAGCATTATTCCTGATTTTGTTTTCTATCTTGCTTAACAAATGAACAAAGAGTCATAGTGATCCACCACATAGAACAAGAAAGGCAGCAGCTGCTGTGAAAGAAGACCATATATTCATACAGAACCTTCCAGACACATAAATCATGTTCTATAATTACCTATACCTGTTCCACACCAGTGGAAGGAGCTGCAGCCCTTCTGCCCAGTGGTTGACTTCTAAGGTTAAAAAGTGAAAAAAAGAAAGACTATAGAGATATAAAAAACATTTCAGTAAAACTTTCCACAGCAAGCTAATTAAGATAAACTCGATCCCGTTCTGCGACCCACAGTGTAAGGTGGGCCACGTTGGATGCCCATACCTGGGAGCAGTGCG